CAAGTCTGCAGCTATTCGTAGCGGGACTTGCCCATATGTGGTTCTAGTGCTCTTGAAGCACCGGTGCAATGCGCTGCCACGTACCTGACGCCAAGCTTGAGTGACCGGCTGCGATTGGAATGAAATAGTAGTAGTAGTAGTAGTAGTAGTAGGAGGAGTAGGAGGAGAAGGAGAAGTCGTAGTAGTAGTAGTAGTAGTAGTAGTAGTAGCAGCAGCAGCAGTTCTGTGATTCTGAGGCATTGGGAAGTGACGCGCCCGCTCCATTGCCACCTCGTGCCTCTGATTGACAAGTGCGCGTCCCGTGGCCTCACGCTCGAGTCCCTCTTTGGATTAGACGAAGGCACCGTTGCTTGCCTGTATACCTCTGAGTAGTACAAGTCCGGGGCCGGCTATCGCAATCTAACCGGCCACCTGGAAGAGATTTTCGCGAAGATTCTTCAAAACGCGGGCAGTGATGACTTGGAGCTAGGAGCTCAGTCAAAAATGATTACTGACATGTCAAAACGTGCTGCAAAGAAGAGCGCAGACCTGAAGTTTTCTTTTTTGGCCTCATTTTTCGACCGTGTGAGCATGCCACGTCCCCGCTGGTGTTTGCGACCACCGTTGGTTAAGTTCAGATTTCCATGTTCAGTCGCTTCGTCGCCGCGAAAGCCATAGGGCCCGCCGGACATCTGAGCAGAAACTTCAGATGCAATGATTCTCGATGCGGAGATCTCCCTGAAGGAGCAAACAGATTGTCGCAGCCTGGCAGACACACCTCACGTTGGTGCATTGCCCGACACATTCCCATACCGAGGGTGATTGCCTGCATCACAACGGGATTGTTGCAACCATGTCGAATTCGTTATTTCGAGATTGTTCCGATTGCCCTGGATGGAGATTACACTGCACCAAGCATTGCTGATCACGTTGATCATCATGAGTCTAACGCAGTGGTGATTGATCCCACGCGAGAATCAGCGGTCATCCTTCCGATTGGAATTGTTGCTCGCATCATCGACCCGGCTCACGCAAGCCATCCGCACCGATGGCGTGACCATTGAGCTGGCGTGATAGAGTTGCGAAATGGCTACTTCGAGATCTGATCGCAGTGTTGAAGCAACTGTACAGCTTAGTGTTCAGAGGGTCTTTGACGCTAAGGGAATTGTGAACGATTGCGTGAACAGGCCAACATTTTAGATTGGACATCCACTGGTCTGTATAGCTTTAGATTGCCACGTTCCGAAGTGATTGTTAATCTCCTTGTTCTCTGTGCATTGTTTCGATTGTCTGCACGCTGAGAATCGGCAATGGTGCGAGATAGTGACAATTGCATCTCAGGCGTTGTCAAGGGCCGTGTTAGATTGAACCACATCATTGGTGGCCTTCTGTGTATCACCATTGGATGATGGCTCAAGTCGCTGTGAGAAACATTGAGTCCGAGAGAATCCGGATTGCAAGGGATCTGCTTATGTGTTGAGCATTGCTATCACACTGTCAAGTGAGTACAAAGTATTGTACAGGTATCGGTGTCGAAACTTTTTATTTACGGGGGGCTTAAGGGCTTTGACCCTTTCTCCCCCGAAGAACGGGATCTTTGGGGAAGCTCAAACGGGGGTTTAAAAGGGGGCTCAAGCCCCCCTTTGTCCAAAGCGGGGGGGCCCTCCCTCCTTGCAATCGCTTCAGGAAGATTTTAGGCGAAGAAAATAAACAAAACACAAAAACGCTTACAACAAATACAAGAAAACAAGCATCTTCCCCACACATAAGAGGGAAATGCACGCAATCGCTTAGAGGAAGCATCCAACAGACAAGAAGAAACAACAATACGTCTTCTCCGGACTTCAGGGGGCTTCAAGGGCGCTTAATAGCTGTAAGGGGGCTCCGCAAAGCTTGCTGCTGTGATATTTGCGAAGCTTTCTCTCAAAAAGCCTGTGTAGTTTTGTCTGTGCTTCCTTGCGACCATGCGTCGCTCTTAAGACATGTCCTGCATGTTTCTGTGGAACGTGACGAAGAGGCCCACCATGGCGTCTCTTCAGGGTGCCCTCCGGAAACTGACCCCTGCGGACGTCTATGCTGGCATGCAGGCCAGGAATAGCGTCTTGGTTTCTACACAGGCTATGACTCTGGCGCATCGCCAAGAGTCACACCGACTTGTTCGCGTTTGCGTTCGTTCGCAAAAGTTGGAGCCAAATATTTGCGAGGTTCGCTCTTCGGAGCCGGTTCTATGGTGAATAAGGCGCCAAGAGGACCTGCTTGAACTTATCTGCGAAAACACTTGCTTGTAGGTGTGCTGACGAATATCTGTGAAGATTTGCGGCGCTTATCTTCTAGCTGCCGCAGATTGGCTGCTTGGTGCTTCCTGTTGATTGTGAACTTTGGACAGACGGCTTGGAAAAGACAAGAAAAATCAGAAGAAAGAGGCACGGCTTCGGAAAGTTCCGCCTAGCTGTGACAAAGCCAAGGAAGCCGGAATATCTTACACAGTGTGGCGCCGCGTGTTGCACCCCGACCGCTGCTGGTATTGCTGCGGCAGGAAGGATTGGGTGTCGCTGCGCTAGTAAGATGTCGCACAAAGCAATCGCCGACAGGATGCAGTGGTTCATCCGCGGAGATGTGCGTCCCAGACCGCGAGAAAAATGCAGAAACGAGATTCTTTGGGACAATGCATGACAATGCTCCATTGTCTAAAGATGTCGTAGGAGTTACTTCACCGTGCTCCACCAGAAAACCTAGAGAAAGCATCATCCCAAGACGATGCATCTAAGCAGAGAGCGTCTGTGCAAGACGAGGCATTATGAGTGTTTCTACCATCTCTCGCAATTATATGATTAATGCTACTACTATTAGTAGTTCTGGCACTACGATTACTAGCAGTAGCAGTAGCGGTAGCAG